GGGGGAGTAAGGGGTGGAGGGGAGGCACCCCTTGGGCCCAGCCGGCCGGCCTGACCGAGCCTCCAGCCGCCTTAGGGGGCTCAAATACATTCCCAAATCACCGTCCTGTTGGTGGTAGTGTTCTGTTGGCGGCGGTGCTCGGAGGAGGCCACATCGCCGTGTGTGTGGGGAGGGGGCGAGGGGACACAGGATAGGGGAGGGAGGTGGAGGGAGGTCCCTCGAGGGGATTCGGACGCGGAGGATAGCGTCGATGGGAGGCAAGCGGAACCAGAGCGGTCCTCGCAGCTCCCCCGGCCCCGTGGCTCCAGCAGCCGATCCGGCGCTAGCGGCGCCAGCGCGAGCGTGGCTGGCTGGCCACTGGCCGGAAAACAAATACGACGCAAACCCGCGCAAACCCGGCGGCGGGTGTGACCCCTGTGGACCTCCACCACCTCCCCCAGCAGTGTCAGCGTGGAGTGAGTGGGGAAAGAGATGTTGTATTTTATACACTCACATTCCCACGAGCGAACTCTATTTCACCCATTTTCTCCCCGACCCACAGACAGAATCAGTACAAAACGAATACTGGAGAATAATAACGAAGAACAGCTCCGTAATGCATCCTAATTGTTTTTTACTCTGCCAATTCAAATGTGTACGAAATTTGTCCCTTGTAAGTTGCTAAAATGCACCTGGATGCAAGATGTGCTGAAACTGCAACTATGGTTGCAAGAAAAAAAAAAGTTCCTTTACATTTGCGGTGTGCTCGGAGTTCTAAGTATCTTAGTTTGGCTGCAGCGGGCAGAAAAGAATGTGTTGCCGACACAGCGTGGGTCGTCAGCTTTAAATGTTTTAACCTGTAGAACTTTGGGGACGAAAACCCCAAATGGCACGCCATTGTTTTGGTCATAGGTTAAGGTTCTTAAAAAGTTTACATTATCTCGCTCGTCCGTAACTGAAATCACGCACGGCACGGCGCAGCGCTTTTAGATAAACTAAGTATCTTTGAGCGGTGCTCGTGAAACCAAGTATCGTTGCGCGACCCTAGTGAAACCACGTATCTCAATTTTGGGGTGATTTTTGAAACCTACCATTCAATAGAGAAATTTTCACTCTATTGAAAGAATATAGTTCATAAAAAATCGTCACACCAGGGTCGCGCAACGATACTTGGGTTCACGAGCGTCGCGCACTGATACTTGGTTTCTCTAAAGGCTGCGCCGTGCGACACGTGCTTCGAGTTAGGGACGAGCGATCTGTAACTTTAGAGGACAAAATAACCCGCCAACAGAGCCACCAGTAGACCGTGATAGCATGATGGCATTGGTAACACGTTGAGTGTAGCGTGCCTCTGTAGTCCTGGTCTGGTATCCCCATAGATAGTGATCGCCTTTTTAACTTAATTGCTTCGTGTTCGTGTTGGGATGAACTTAGTAGAGAATTATTGGCGGCAGTAACGAGTATTTCAGCGTCACATTTTCATCCCAGAATTTACCACACACCGCGAGGTCGTAGTAATGTTTCTGGAGAGATTGAGCGATACTATGAAGTCAATGATAAAACTTTTTTTCGGTTCTGCAAGCCCAATTTTGGGAGCAGTAAACAATTTCAGTATGTACTTTTTACCAGTGAGCTACCAGACCGATTTCTGAACCTTAATTATAGGAAATGTGTCAGTTCAAGGAGCATGTTTTCCTTGATTTTATGCGAAAACTGACAAATTTCTGATGTCTGATACGAGGTCTGGTATCTTTCTCACTGGGTTCTCAATCCGTCGAGCATACGCGAGATTGTGATTGCAATAGTTTGAAATATTCTGCAATGGATCGTTCGGAACGGAAAGTGCGTCTCATATAGTGCCTGTCCCTGTCAGATAGACAACTCTTTTCTACAGTGCATGCGTGTACTACTGGGACTATGAGTGCCCTACCCCGGGTCTATCAGGCGCCGAATGCCAAAGGCATTTGCCAATGACAAAAGAATGGACGTTCTTTCTGGGTAATTCTTAAAAATATGCCCACAATGGTAGCGTGGTGTGGCTCGGCGCTGCGGTGAGGGAGGAGCGCAGTCTCGAAACACAAAAGTTCTTCTTATGTAGTGAGTTTTCGACACAGGAAATAACCTTCTCACTTTTAAGGACCTCCCAAGTCAGTGGAAACTGTCAGATTTGTGATTAATTCTCACTATGTACAGTCACCGAAATTGTGATTCTTTGTCGAAATCTGACGCGAAACGCTGACGGGCCGGCAGGCCTATTTATAATTTGAACAAGAGACGTATTACTGTAGACGTCAAAATCGTTTCGTTATGGAAACTAGTTCTCCAGCTGATAAAACTAGTAGAAAAGGTCGTTTTCTCAACGACAGTATCTTCGTTGTGACGATCAAAATAATTCGGTTTTCCGAAAATCAACTGGATTGTTAGCTGTCCAAACTAACTCTTTCCCGCCGTGTTTTTGCTCCGCTCCGCCACCACCAGCGCATGTACACGTGCCCCGGGTCGCGTCACGCTACACAACTCTGGCCACGTCAATCGACACCGCCGAGTCGAAAAACTCATCGTGTCAGCGGGATTTTAGTTTTACCACAGCTTTATGGTGATCCAGGATGGGTTTTATACTCTGGGCCCTCCTCACATTCCTGTGTCACAATAAGATCCAGCACGGCAATGCTCTGAACTCTTTTGCGGTCAGTTAATTACCTTCTTTGGCACACGCCTAATAAACTGCAATATACTTAGCCAGAAGGAAGTCAACCGACTTCAACGTTGCCCGAAAAACGTGATTTTTTTCACTCAAACCGAGGTATTGAGCAGAGACCCGTAACGAAACGATTCGTTAATTTAGTTTTTCGGCAATATCCCGAGGACTGACCGACATTGGATCGACGTCGATGCAATTTTCATTTCTGGCGGGGACATTATTAACACGGTGTCATTATTGTATTATGTTTTTACACATTGTTTCTATGTTGCTATAATTTTGCCCTAATGCGTATTCACACTCAAACCACTGTGCACATCCATGTATTCCCACTGTCTCGTCTGCCTTGCTCTGTCCATTAGAGAATTAACATCCCAAACATCTGATATCTCCTGAATCAACCAAATCCCAAATCTTACGCAATACCATACAGTCTTCACAATTACATTAAGCACATACAGAAAGAATGCTTAAGCCAAATAGCCATAACGTTACTGGTGCAAGTATCAACTTTGTTTCCATATATCCACTACGAGTGGACCAAACGGTGATGTTTGGCATTTCTTTCTCGTATAGGGACCATACATAATTGTCATCGAGGAACGGGGTGCCTACAGGTGTGATCCACCCAATGTCCAGCTTCCGTGGGGATGGAATGTGCGGCCTAGTCACTTTAACCCAAATAGACCAAGAGAAAAACAACTACTGACTGGCAACATAGCGGGCGAAAATGTATCTATTGATGACAGCTCGTGGGTAAGATATTGCTACTGGGGATCATCCATCCACTTATTGTAAAAACCTGTCAAATCCGTATGTACCAATGTTTCTGATTATATCAGGCGACAATTGTTTTAGATTCTTCATCGAATAACCAATGGAAGGAAAACGCGCTGGTCCTGCCTTTTAAAGCTAAGGCGTGCACGGCTTTTAAAATGAATATGCCGACCCTGTACAACCTATTTTACAAAAAGACAGAAACTAAAGGGGTGTGTAGACTCAAACCAGTAAGTACTGAAATTTAAACTGCACGTCTGCTCTAGTTAATGTTTTTCTCACGGTGAAAATAACGAGCTGTGGGATTCCTAGCAGCTTTCTTAATTTTCCAGGGGAGTTGGAAGAGTCCAAGGAGATGCCCTGAAAATGTGAAAATTTTCCAGGGGATGTCCTGGGTTTTCCAGTAGCTCCCCTGAGACTAATTGCTTATTTCCAGGGCATCCACTAGGGTTCTAACTCTCCTGGGAGTTTCAGGAATCGTTTTAGCCGTGCCTTTCTTTAAGTACAAGAAGAGTGTTTCCGAGAGAACACGGTTTTGTCAAAATGACATCAAGTGATGTCAGTGACAAAATTATGTCATTTCGGTGGCCTGACTTGACGTCATATTGAAATCACATGGCATACCGTGATGTCAAATTCACGTCAAATCCACTTCATGAAGTGATAACTCTGCCAGTCGCTGTGGGGACATTCGATTGCGGGGGGGGCAGGGAGGCATGCGGAACCAGAGCGGTCCTCGCAGCTCCCCCGGC